GAACTACCCTGGCTCATGTCTTAATTGATACGAGTTCCTCTTTAAATGTTCTACCTAAAGGTGCTTTGGATCGACTAGATTGTGAAGGCCTGTTATTGAAACCAAGTGATATAGTTGTAAGGGCTTTTGATGGGTATAGAAGGATGGTGCATGAAGAGGTGGATTTCCCCATTAAGGTACGATCACAAATTTTCAACTCCACTTTTTATATAATGGACATACGTATCGCCTAATCTTGTTTGCTTGGGCGCCCTTGGATCCATGGGGCAGGGACAGTAACGTCAACCCTTCATCAAAAATTAAAATATCTAGTAAAAGGGAAGATCGTTATTGTTTACAGAGAAGAAGAATTTATGGTGAGCCACCTCAATTCCTTTAAGTATGTGGAAATGTATGATGAGTTCATAGAGACTCCGTGCTAGGATGTCGAAGTTGTTCCTCTTATGGTTGCCACCACCAAAATCTCCTCCAACATATCAAAAGCTGATGAAGTTGTACCAAGAATGGTCTCACTTAAGGATGCCCGTGGCATGGTCGAAGATGGAAGTTGTACTATCTGGGGACAACTTCCTGACATTCCGTTTAAAGCAGACAAATTTGGGCTGGGTTTCACCATCAAAGCTCAGAAAGAGGTCAGACGCGCTCACGCGGGAAAGTCACCTCTCCGCATAGGAAATCATGAAGTTAACATTGTGGAAGACTCTGACGATGAGTGTGCTTTTGAAGAATGAATCTTCCCTACTGCCGGAGGAAAGCTCAATAACTGGCATGCAAAAGACTTCACTCCCATCTCCTTCATTGAGGAGTAATTATTGTATTGTTTTCTGTCAATTCAAGAACTTTTGTCTGTAACTTTAAATTCCAAACAATGACTTTTAAGCCATGTGCCTTGTCCAGGACACTATGGTCCATTTATTAAGGGTTTTGTTCATGTTCATTTATCATATGATCATTTAATATAAACCATTGGACCTTTTGCATTCAAAATTTGTGTTCATTGTCTTTCTTTTTCTTTATTGCATTTTTTCAATAGCCATGTATCTTACATGCACAAACACACTTGTAGATCTTCATCCACTCTGGATCTCATTGCCAACGACTCTACTATTGCCAGTTATTACTTCAAACATCCAATTAACCAAGCCAAAGACGAAGACGAGGAAGATTATGAAATACCAGGGGAACTATCCAGACTTCTGATGCAAGGGGAGAAAACTATTCAACCTTATGAAGAGCCAGTCGAAGTTATCAACCTAGGTACCAAGACAAACAGGAAAGAAGTTAAGATCGGCTCCAACCTAGAAGATGATATCAAGAGCAGTTTGGTTCAGATATTACATGACTACGTTGAAGTGTTTGCTTGGTCGTATGAAGATATGCTAGAGTTGGATATCGACATTGTGGTTCATCGTCTTCCAACGAAGGAAGATTGTCCTCCTGTTCTTTTTAAGCAAACGTTGTGTTTTGAATTTGGACCACATATCTTTGTGTGTTTTGGGCTTGTACGCTTCTGTTTGGACTGGGCATGTAAGGCTTGAACTGTGTAACAAAAATCCCTCTTTGTCAACTTTTCCTTTAATTGATGAAACCAAACAATGAAATTAAGTTTAATATATAATTTTTAAATATAATAATAAAAATAAAAATAATTAATAGTTATATACTAATAATAATGTTAATAATGACGTCCCTAATAATATTAATAATAAATAATTATGATAATAATAATAACAATTAATTATAATGAAATAATAATAATAATAGTAATAATAATAATAATGTTATTAACAAAATATTTTTTCAAAACAAAAATCAAAAACTTGAAATGGGCCATATTGTTTTGGTTATTGGGCCTTATGATTTATTCACACCCCCTTTGAAACAAAATACACCTCCCTTAATCTGGAGTGGACTTTTACTAAAGCTCAATGGGCCATCAGATATTGATGGTCAATTTTGGATTGATACACCCCTCTCCGATTTTAAACACCCCTATAAAAGTAAAAACTATATAATGTGACTTATTGAATTAAAAACCCAAATATAAGTGTAGGGAAAATTTGGGGTATGACAGGTTGTCGTTGGCTTTATACAGTGAAAGTTGGTCCAAATGGTAAGATTGATCGATTTAAAGCTCGCTTGATAGCCAAAGGATACACTCAGATTTTTGGGTTGGATTATAATAATACCTTCTCGCCTGTAGCCAAGATGGCATCTGTTAGACTTCTTCTAGTCATTGGTGCCATTCGACATTGGCCTCTTCATCAATTTGACATCAAAAATGCATTTTTACATGGTGATCTTCAAGAGGAAGTATATATGGAGCAACCACCTGGGTTTGTTGCTCAGGGGGATCCATCGAATAAGGTTTGTAGCTACACATGTCTCGTTATGGTCTTAAGCAATCTTCGAGAGCTTGGTTTGGCCGATTTAACACTGTAGTTCAATAATTTGGTATGATCTATAGTGAAGCTGACTATTTTGTCTTTTATCGTCACTCAGTCCAAGGGTGTATTTATCTTATTGTGTATGTAGATGATATTGTCATAACTAGTAGTGATCAGTAGGGAATACTCCAGTTGAAATAATATATTTCGAATCAATTTCAGACAAAAGATCTTGGTAAACTCTGGCATTTCTTAGGTATCGAGGTAGCTCAATCTAAAGATGGTTTGGTGATTTCTCAGTGGAAATATGCTATGGATATTTTAGAAGAAACATGTTTGTTGAACGCTAAACCAGCTGATACTCCTATAGATCCAAGTCTCAAACTACTATCTAATCAGAGGGTGCCTCTATCAGACTCGGGAATGTATAGGATATTGGTTAAAAGTTGAATTATCTCATAGTCACTTGTCCAAACATTTCTTTTGCAGTCAGCGTGGTAAGCCAGTTCTTAAATTCCCCTTGTCAAGAACACATGGATCCTGTTATCCAGATTCTAAGATACATCAAATATGCTCCAGAAAAAAATTTAATGTATGAAGATAAATGACATATTCAGATAGTTGGATACTCCGATGCAGATTAGATAGGGTCATCAACTGTTGGAGGAAGCCTTATATCTTGGAAAAGTAAAAAACAAATGTAGTTGCAAGATCAAGCGTCGAGGCAGAGTATAGCACCATGGCAATGGCAACATGTGAACTCATTTAGTTAAAGCAATTGCTCAGAGAACTTCAAATTAAAGAAGCAAGACCAATGACACTTGTATGTGATAATCAAGCTGCATTGCACATTGCTTCAAATCCAGTCTTCCATGGGAGGACTAAATATATTGAGATAGACTATCACTTTGTCAGAGAGAAGATTGAATATGGCGACATCGTCACAAGCTTTTTCAATTCTAATGATGAATTGGTAGATGTGTTTACAAAATCTATGCAAAGTCCTATAACTAATTATATATGTGACAAGTTTGGTGCAGTTGACTTATATGCTCCAGCTTGAGGGGGGAGTGTTGATATTTGTAAATGTATAGTGTTTAAAATATTTGTATGTAGAATAATTCTATATCGATTATATCATATAATTAGTTGTAATCTCTCCACATATAACAAAATCTCCGTAGTGCTTTTAAAATACACGATTTAATCTAAATATCTCTTAATCTCTCCTAATTCAATAACCTCTTCATTTAATTTAGAATTTCTTCATCAAAACCTTAAAATATTATTCTCCATTTTTTTTTAAATACTTGTTATGAAAAAGATAAACTATTTATTCTCTTCGGTCTTTAATATGATAAAAAAAGGTTAATTTATATAAATAATTAATATATTTAATTTATATAAAAAATTCAATATATTAATTACTCAATAAATTTAAAAAATAATATTTTTTTGAATAAATAATTTAAAAAAAAATATAAGCTACTTATTTCTTTGACTATAAGACATAGACTATTTATTAAATAGAACAAAATACTTTAAATTCAGCCAAAAATAAATTAGATATACATGAAATGATTTGATTACATCTTTAAGGATAGAAATAAATTGGACTCATTTAGGTTTTGTTAAACCCGAATTTTATCAATTAAAAATTTTAAAGTTTAAGTCTGTCTTATGAAGTATTACAAATTTATTTTTAGACATAAATCTAACTTTTTTAAAGGTCTATTTAATTTACATAAAAATCTATATTTAACTAATATTTAAATAGATTAATAAATTAAAAGATCAATGAAACTAAATACTTATTTCATTTACTTAAATTTATCTATTAATTTAAGTTGAACTTATGAAAATGACTTACGACATTCATAAAGTTTTTCAATTTATTTTCATAGAATTTTTAAGATAATTAAACTTTATTTTTATATTTAATTAAAAATATAATAATAATATATTGAAATAAATTGGACTAATAGATTTAAAAAACTTTGTGATGGTGTTTTCAATTAAAAAAGCTTATGAAAAGATTTGATTAGACCAATGAGGTGTGGGTATTAGAAAAATATGATCCGAATGATATATGAAACGAACGGACAAGATGATTTCTCCACATAATAAGCTACTGCTACTCCTTACCTTGTACTCTTTCTTCTTCTCTCATCCCACACCCTATTTTCAAAACCCAATCCTCTTTTCTCTTCAAGGTACGATAACCCGTTTTCTCTTTTTTTTCATTCTCTTTTTATCATTCTATTTCCCTTCTTTTTCTCTTGTTTCGCTAACCCTCGCTCTTAGAATCCCTTTGTTTATGCATTCATAATTTCACTGGTTAATCACAATTTGCATATACTCTGCTTAATTTACTGATTATGCTTAAGAGTCACTTCAATCAATTTTCTGATCATTTCTTAACAGTCAATTTATCTGCTTAGTACTTATATGTTAATCTTAGGTTTTCATACTGTTTGGTCAAACCCCTTTTTTGTTTTATGAATCTGCAATATCAATTTATTTGGTGATATATGGTTTGAAATGATCCTGTTTTTGAACAGGTTTATTTCAGAAGCTTGATGTTCTTATTAATTTTGAATTCGAGGTAACTTTATGGGGAATGTACTCGGTCTGAACAATACCAAGGCTAGGGGGAGTGTTTCGGCGAACGAGGTTTTGCCGGGTGAAGCTTGTAAGAGACAGAAGTTGTTGTCAAGTTGTTATGAGGATAACTCTAGACTGATTCCTTCACTTCCTGATGAGATATCTGTTCAGATTCTGGCTAGGGTTCCTCGCATTTGTTACTTGAATCTCAAGTCAGTTTCTCGTGCTTGGAAGACGGCACTCGCGAGTTCGGATGTATTTTCTATGAGAAAACAACTTGGAACGGAAGAGGAGTGGCTGTATGTATTAACGAAAGTGAATGATGAGAAGCTTTTATGGTATGCCTTAGACCCAATTTCAGGAAGATGGCAAAGGTTACCTCCAATGCCGAATGTTTTAGTTGAAGATGAAGCGAAAATGGGTTTGGCGGGGTTTCCTCGTCGGATGTGGAGTATGTTGGGTTCGAGTATTAGAATTGCTGATGTTTTTATGAACTGGCTTAGAAGGAGAGATGCGTTGGATCGGATGCCCTTCTGTGGTTGCTCTATTGGGGCTGTTGGTGGTTGCATCTATGCTTTAGGAGGATTTTCTAAAGCTTCCGCTATGAACTCTGTTTGGAGATATGATCCTGTTAAAAATGCTTGGACTGAGATTAGTCCAATGTTAGTTGGCAGAGCCTATAGCAAGACGGGTATATTGAACGATAAGCTTTATGTTGTTGGAGGGGTTACTAGAGGTCATGGTGGATTGAATCCCCTTCAATCTGCAGAAGTATATGATCCGAAAACCGGTATTTGGTCACAATTACCTAACATGCCTTTTACAAAAGCTCAAGTGTTACCGACAGCTTTTCTGGCTGAATTGCTTAAGCCTATTGCCACGGGAATGACTTCATACAGGGGAAGGTTGTTTGTTCCTCAGAGTTTGTATTGTTGGCCGTTTTTTGTTGATGTTGGAGGAGAAGTTTATGATCCAAATATAAATTCTTGGCTTGAAATGCCAGTTGGCATGGGTGACGGTTGGCCTGCAAGGCAAGCCGGAACAAAATTAAGTGTTACCGTCAATAATGATTTGTATGCGTTAGATCCTTCAAGTTCTCTTGACTCGGCAAAGATAAAGGTATATGATGAGGAAGGTGATACTTGGAAAGTTGTTGCAGGAGATGTTCCTCTTCATGATTTAGCTGATTCAGAATCTCCTTATCTTTTAGCTAGTTTACTTGGAAAATTCCATGTGATTACTAAAGATGCAAATCACAACATTGTAGTCTTGCAAGCTGGCATGCAAAATCATTTAGCTTCCTCTCAGGCGATGTCGTCGTCATCTGATAGCTCATTCAGCGAACTTGCTGAATCATCAGCAGAATCGGAGACAGAACTTTGGAGGGTTTTTGCTTCTAGGAGTGATAGATCTGCTGAGCTAGTTAGCTGTCAATCCCTTAAAGTTTAATTTTTCAGAGCTGAAATCCTCGTGGTTCCGAGATCATTATGCCTGTAGTGGCTGGTATTGTTGCCGACAACCCTCAATGTTAACAGCAATTTCAAATTGCAAGTGGTGAGTGGTCCAGTCTCACTGCATCATTGATCCAGAAGATGTAATTTCACATTAGCTCATACACAGATAATTCAAAATTTTACAAAAAATGTACATCAAATATGAATGTTTTTCGAAATATTTACATTTTACATTATATATACCATTATAGGATTACAATTTGTCTGGTTACTCTTGCACCAATGTAGCAGATACTATCTTTATTGAATGGATTTTCAATTTATTATGTTAGATTTGCTCATTTTCTCCCTTAGACATTGCGTGCCTTTAAATGTTGTTATTTCTTCCAACTTGTACTTTTTTGTTATCTTTTTACAGGGAGGGTAAAGTTGTTGGCTGAAACAAGCCTACTCTACACTCACAAGCCATTGACATGTCTTGTAGATATTTCATGTTATCTATCAGCCTCCATAAATTACTACTCACCCTTATGTTTTTGTCAAAGCATTCGGTAAATTTGAGAATGTTATGCAATTTGATATTTTAGGCACTGGATAATAGGATCATCTGTTTAATAGTGTCTTTAACATGCCTTGACAGAAAATGATCGATAGAGTCATTTCAGTAACTGCAAGTATTTGTAAGGAAAGAGAAAAATATGAGAGGAACACAAAAGAGAGAATCCCTTCCTCAACTAACAATAGCTAGCACAATATCAATCTCCCTAGATTACCACTCTCACCCTGACATTTGTTCTGTAACTTTCCGTTTTGACAATTAAGGATTGAGTTCACATATTCATTGCACTATGAATACACAATATATTATAAATAGAAGTTGAAACTACAGTTTGTAAAAGTAGGTAAGGCTCATATTTGTCATATTGCTTTATTTTATGAATAGATTATAAAACTGACAGAAGTAAAGCATTAGAAATCCTCTTAATAGAGAAGGTATTTGAGTCTCTCCGAGGCTTCAATGATAGATTCTCTCTGGCCGAAAGCACTAATTCTTATATACCCTTCACCACCTGGACCAAAACCACTGCCTGGAACTGTAATTATGTGTGTATTCTCAAGAATTTCACCAAAGACATCCCAAGATTTTAAGCCAGAAAAACGGACCCAAACATAGGGTGCATTTTTACCTCCATAAACTGTCAGCCCAAGAGAGGTCAATGCATTGACCAGTATTCTTGCATTCTCCATGTAGTAGTCAATAAGGGACTTCACAGCCTGAGAAATTTTTTCAAAACATTATCTATTTGGAAAAACAATCACACAGTGACAGAACGGTTTCATAGAGTTCAAGGTGGGTAATTAAGATACAATATTTTGCATTAGTCTAGGAACTGAACTTGAAATGAAGCACAAATAGGAATGCTGACAAGTTATAGAGGTTCTTAGTTAGGGAGCAAGAATCTTACTTTAAGACCCTCTGGTGAAAGGCATGCTAGTCCCCCAGCCTGAGATATGCTGGATGCTCCATTGAAGCAGGTACAGACGATGCGGTTGAAATCATGTAAAACAGGGAAGCCGTTTGAATATAACAGTTCTTCGGGGACTACTGTCCAACCAAGTCGGACACCTGTAAAGCCGGCAAATTTTGAGAAGGATGACACTTCAATTGCAACCTGAAAGCATGAAACTAAGAAGATTAAGGTTGCCATTGTTGAGAACAGTGCATGCTAGAAACAAAACATATGCCATGCAAAAACATACCTCTTTGGCACCAGGAATTTCAAAGATTGATTTAGGACTATCATCAGTGATATAAGCAGAATATGCAGAGTCATAGATAATGATTGATCCATTAACTTTGGCAAAATCCACAAGTTGCTGCAATTGTTTCCTAGTTGCTGCATGACCAGTAGGATTGTTTGGAGAACAGAAAAAAATAAGCTGTGACCTCGAAGTGCGATGCAGATCCGGGAAGAAGTCAGTTTGAGGTCCACATGTCATGTATTCTATGTTTTCATATTTGCCAATTCTATCTACGAACTTGCCAGCATGACCAATTATGACACTTGAGTCTATGTAAGCCTGTTCCATAAGAATTTTTTGTGATTGAAAACCTTTGGCAAATGAAATACATTGTTTTAGGCTTGAATATATGTTTTGTTTTTAACTCTTGTAAATATATTATATTATTCTTTTTATCATTATTGTGTTTTAGTGTGTCTAAAATTATTCATATTGAATTTGGCAATATTTGATTTTAGACTTTTGGTCGCTGCAACTATGCTATTTATTATGTTTGGTTATGGTTACTTTGTTTTAGTGTCTGCAAAATTTATTCATATTGAAATTAGTTATTGTAATATGTAGAATATTTGTTTTAGACTTTAAGTCTCGCAAAATAGAAGAAAATGAATATTACAATGACCAATTTTAATATCCAAGTTTTGCAGGGACTTGGTCCAAAGTAGTTGTTGACATCTAGATAATAGATTATTCAATTTTTTGCAGTTGAAAATAGATTATTGAATATCGAATATACCGGGAAGGATGGATCCTGTACAGCTATCTTCAAATTTGGACCCATTAGCAGCTGCATGTGTTGAGACAAATCAATGTCACATGTTAGAAGGAAGAAGAAGAATACAATGAGAGAAATATGATTATGAAATAGTATTTGTTGAGTACCTGAAGACGAGAAATATCACATTGTGCACCGTCCGAAACAAAAACTTCAGAAGGTTTTATCCCTAGATCTTTGTAAACTCTATGAGCAATTGCTTTTCTCAGAGCCTGCCAATGTTGTTTTTGCAGAACATGCATCAGAACAGAAAAAATTCTCTTTTTTTTGTGATGTTTTATTTTTCAAGTCTTAATGAGAAAAATTGTATTGATTATACCTTTTCGCCTTGCTCAGGTCCATATCCTTTATAACCTTCTGCTGTTGAAAGGCCGCGAACAAACTGCAGAACATCGTATGAAAAGGAAAAATGTTCTGTTATTCTAGTAAGTTTACCTTTATACATTTTTGCTAGAGGATAGTTGCTAAACAAACATGATAGAATTTTTTGTCTATGAAGTGTTTTCATGTATATAAAGTTCATAAATACATGCAATAATCATACTATTTTGAACAGAAAGAGCCTTCATAACTTACATCAACCATGCTTGATGTTACAAGTGTTGGTAACGGTTCTGTAGTGTCACCGATTCCGAGGTCTATCACGTTTGCATTTGGATACTTCTTCAAGTGAAGAAGCTCATGTCTTTCAATCTGATGCAACATCATATAACACATATATCATAAAATTCTAACATGTGACATGACATAATGAATATCCATGACAGTAAAAACAATATTTGATAACAGAATTTAAATCATGTACAGAATCAAAAAATGAGAATGTTATTGAAGAGTACCTCAGGAAATAAATAACCATGTTGCAGTTTCTCCATGTTTACATTCCTAGGTACCTTTGTTGTGTGTCCTGAACATTATATCAGTCATAATGATAATAAGTCTAAGACTAAGAAAAATGAAGAAAATAAATCCATACAAAAATTTTGGTTACCAATTCTAACACTTTGATTCTTCAATGTGCATGAAAACCTGTAATTATCATATGCATACACAAGTCAAAAAGCAAAAGGTAATGATGTTTGATTGTGTTAAGTTAACATTTTCCAAATTTGGTTTTACCTGTTCACTAACATCCTAGGCTGCAAAGAATTTGGACTAAACACAGAACTCAAATTTGATGTCTTGTACATTTTATGTTCTCAAAAACCAGAGGCTTTTTTTTTTTTTTTTTTCTGTAAGGTTTTGGTTCTTATTTATTATGACTATGTAGCAATAGTGCTACTATACACAAAAACAAATTTATAGCCAAGAGGTGTGTCCTAAACTAGGTCTAGATACTCTCATCTTAAATGTCAATTTCAACCATTCATTTTCCACTCACCTAATTTCAAACTTTTCTATTAATGTCTTTCTAACAATTTATGTGTTTGGAAAATATGTCGACCATTTTTCATTTTTACCAAATGAATTCTCTCGTTAACGCAGAAGAATACTAAAAATTTAAACATGTACATAAAACAAAAATAAAGCTTTTTTTTTTTTTTGTGTCTTTTAGACGAAGTGGTAATAAATAATCTTTAACAACTCAGGATCAGAATTCGATCCTTGGTGATAACGTTTAACCGAGTAACATCGGCTACTCCAGACAAGATAATATAAAAAATAGGTGAGAAATTAAATTTGATAATTCAAAAAGCATGAAAAGAGCCTGAGAGAAAATAAGGGAGAGAATTCATTCCCTTTTAAACTACCTATCATGCATATTATGATCTATAAAATAATAAAATTAATTTGCAAAAATAGATATTACTTTTTGCTAGTTTCAACATTTAATATATGACATCACGATCTATTTCTATATATGTAAAATATATAAATGAATGAATTTCTCAAATTATATTTTTCTAAGATATTCAGTTGAGTATATATACATATATTACATAGTAAAAATTGAATAGAAAATGTTTGAATTAAGCCTAAATTTTTGCTGCCTGACTGTTACTGCTTGACAGAGTTATATGCTTCTAAATGCTAATAATAACCAAATAACTCTCCTTAAATATTTGATGACCAATTCAAATATTCTTTAATTGTTTGATTATTCAAATTGATTATGTTTGTTCATTACGCCCCTTCAAGATGAACGTTCCATCAATGACCTTTATCTTGGACACGAGTTCAGTGAACTTGGTTGTGGGAAGTGGTTTAGTAAGTAGATCCGCCAACTGATCCTTCGTAGACACATGTGTTACGATGAATTTGTTGGTTTGAACTTGTTCCTTGACAAAATGATAATCTAATGATATATGAATGAAGTACATGATTGGAGCAAAGGTATGTAGCACCCACATTGTCACACAATAGTCGTCGAGATTCATGTATGGGTATTCTTAGCTCATGAAGTAAGTTTTGTAGCCACATGAGCTCAGTGGTAGCGGTAACAACTGCACGATATTCAGCCTCAGTAGATGACCGTGCAACAGTTCTTTGCTTTCTTGAGAGCCACGAAATTGGGTTGCCTCCAAAGAAAATGATGTAAGCTGAGGTGGATGTGCGATCATCATTGTTCCCACCCCAATCTGCATCAGAGTATGCTAACAGGTTGTTTGCGGCAGTTTTTTGTAGCATGAGACCATGATTAGTGATTTGTTTGATATACCGAAGGATGCGTTTCAAGTGTTAGAAGTGAAGGGAGGTTGGTTTGTGCATAAATTGAGACAACTTATTGATGCAGTATGATAAGTCTGGACGAGTAAGATTTAGGTACTAAAGTCCACCAATAATTCTACGAAATTCCGTGGCATCGGTGGATGATGTACCATCGTGAAGTTGTAGCACTGCGGTGGAAGAAAGTGGTGTGGGAGATGGTTTCGCCCCCTCCATGTTAAACTTTTGTAAGAGGTCACGAATGTACCGGTGTTGAGAAAGAAAAATGCCAGAGCTTGTTTGTATTATTTCAATACCTAGAAAGTAGTGAGGTTTTCCCATTTTTTTCAATGAAAATCGTTGAGATAATGCCTTGATGAAGCTTTGAAGGAATGTAGAGTTGTTACCGGTGAGTAGTAAGTCATCTACATAGACTAGAAAATAAGCCTTAGTATTACCCGAGTGATAAATGAACAATGATTGATCACTTTTGCTTGTTTGAAATCCATACGCGATAATAAATTCTTTCAGAGAGTCATGCCATGCTCTTGGTGCTTGACGTAGGCCATATATGGGCTTGTGAAGTTTGCAGACATAGTTGGGGTGTGATGCGTCTTTCATACCTGGCGGTTGGTCCATGAAGACCTCTTCAGTCAGAGCTCCTTGTAAGAATGCATTGTTCACATCAAGTTGATGCATTGACCACTGATGAGAGATTGCAATGGTAAGAATAATCTTAATTATTTGTGGGCGAACAACTGATGCGAATGTCTCCTTAAAGTCAATACCAGGACATTGTGTGAACCCTTTGGCAACAAGACGTGGCTTGTAGCGAGCAATGGAACCATCACTATTTCTCTTGATACAAAATAATCATATGCATCCAACAATATTTTGCCCTGCCTTAGGTGGTACAAGAGAGAATGTGTCATTTCTTATTAATGCTTCAAACTCATCGGCAATTGCCTGACGCCAATGGGCGTGTTTTATTGCCTCACGAAAGTTTGAAGGTTTCAAATTCTCAGGTAGAGGATGTTTTGTTGCAGTGTACATTCTTTTTGGCTTGAATATATTATTCTTGGACCTTGTGATAATTTGGTTTGTTTCAGTAGTAGGGACTGCAGAGGTATTAGACGTGACAATAGGTGTAGTAACAAGATTAGGTGTATGAGTATCATTACCTGACATTGTATTTGAAGTCAAAAGATTCTCCTCTTCATGAGACATAGCTTGTGACTCGATTGATGATTGTTGAAGGATAGGTATGATGGTATCAGAGGGTTGTGGCATGTTGGGTATGGTTAGAGATGGTGGTGGTGTAGGTTTGACAAGTTGGTTGTATGGAAAAATGTGGTCATAAAATTTGACATGCCGAGAGGTGTATATTTTGTGATTTGTTGGGTCAAGACATATATAACTGTATTGAGATTCTGCATATCCTAGGAATATGCATGGTTGAGACCGGGATTGAAGTTTATTTGAGACATAAGGTCGCATCCAAGGAAAACAAAGGCATCCAAAGGAATGAAGATGTGAAGTTGTTGGGTTTTTCTTGTGTAAGACTTGATATGATGATTTCATGTTGAGGATAGGGGTTGGTAACCTATTGATTAGATACACTACTGTCTTGAATGCAAAGGACCAATATTCGGGTGGTAAGTTTGACATATGTAATAAGGCTCTTCCAGTTTCAACTACATGTCAGTGTCTCCTCTCAGCTGGATCATTTAGTTCTGGTGTATGTGGTGGTGTGGTGAGATGAGATATACCATGTGTGTGGAGAAATGATTTTAGTTTGATGAATTCTCCTCCATTACCAGAGTGCAATGACATTATTTTTTCTTTGAAGTTATTTTCAACAAGATTTTTGAATGTGGGAAACAAAGTAGAGACATCTGATTTATTTCTTAATGGATATAGCCATACATATTTGGTGAAATGATCAACAAAAAGTAAATAATATGAGAAACCATCTAAAGACTTGATGTGGGCTGGACCCCCATACATCAATATATATGATTTCTAGTGGTTTTTGTGTTTTGATACTGGAAATGGAAAAAGGTAATTTGTGACTCTTAACACTATTGCATGATAGACAAGGTTGCTGTTGGCTCTTTATTTTGTGAGATGGTAGGAGATGTCTAAGTATGCGATCATATGGATACCCTAATATGTGATGCCATGGCGGAGGAATGTATGTAGTTGTGACGAATGCCTGTGGTAGAGATGATGGATGGGGCATGTGGTAGAGTCCATTGCTATGCTGTCCTTTTAGAAGAGGTTCCCTTGTCTTCAAATCCTTTATCAAGAAATGATCAGAAAAAAATTCAATGGAAATTGGATTAGTGTGACACAGAGATGAAACAGACAATACTTTTTGAGTAATTTTAGGCACATGTAAAACATTTGAGAGTTGAAATGATTGAGAGGGAGTTTTTAAAATCATTTTATCAATGTTGGAGATGGTGTGTCCAGATCCATCACCAACCAGAAGCTGATCTGAACCTGTGTAAGGTTGAGACAAGTGCATGTTGTCCAACTCATTTGTTATATGATGGGAAGCTCTCGAGTCTAAGATCCAATCGGATGCACCTGAGGGCATGGCCCTAGTATGAAGAGCAGTAGGAGGTTGATTCTTTGGAGGGTAGCCATGCAATTTGTAGCAGACCTTGGCTGTATGGCCTGGTTTGTCACAAAATTGACACACTACACGCTTTAAGAAGCCAGTCGATGTTGATCTGGGCATTGTGTGATTATGATACTGTTTTGGTGTTTTGTTGTAGAATTGTTTTCCCTTGTGTGTAGTGTTTGCAGTAGCAATGAGAGGAGTTTCTTACACACTTGCATCCCTCTTTAAATAATTCTCAAAATCAGAAAGGAGGTCATGAAGATCATCAAATCCGATAGGATTTTCTCTGGTTCTTAAAGAAGCAGTCACTTCTCGATAGTCAGAGCCAATGCCATTCAAAGTGTGGATGACAAGATCCACATCGTCCACTGAGGAGTTGATGATGGCTAATTCATCAGATAAAGCCTTGATACCATTGAGGTATTCAGAGATGGATTGTGATCCTTTTATGAATCGAGAGAGTCTCTCTTTTAGGTGTATAATTCTTGCACGAGTTTTGCTTGTAAACATCTTAGTGAGAATGTCCCAAGCTTGTTTAGAGGTCTTGACATTCCCCAACATGGTAATGATGCTTGGATCAACAAATGATATGATTGCATGCAGGATCAATTGATCCTGTCTTTTCCAACGTTTTTATGTTGGATCTGTTTGGGCTGGACTGGCAGTGGTGCCATCAACATAGCGAATGAGATCATACCCTACAAGGAGTGCGTTGAACTGCACGTGCCAAGCAGGAAAATTGTTGCTGCTCAGTTTCACTGACGAGTGAGTGTTTAGGACAATAACAGAGTTGGCATTTGGGGTAATTGAAATTTCAGATGTTGTTGAGGAAGGCATGGTGAGATTGAGGATCGTTTTACTGTAAAGCTTAGTGAACTACTGATACCATATAAATGAATGCATTTCTCAAATTAT